CCTAAACTGGAATTTGAGCAAATAATGTCTGTTATAGAGTAAGAATTGCATTCGAATTTATGCAAATATTTCAGTTTTAAGTTGACTGTGCATAAGCAATTTATTGGCTAAATAATCATGCAGTGCTTTTTAATGGCACAGGGTACTTATTGCCGTATTGCTGTTAATAACTTGATTGATAAGGCATCACTTGATTCACTGTCCTTGTCAACAGATATTAATGCTTGTATGCAGAAAATATCTCACCGTAAAAAGTTCCATCTTGCCAATCGCTATGAGCGTATGATCAAAATTCAAATGATCAGAGAGCCTCGCAGCGTCAACAAGCACAACGCAAATCAAAAAATGTAATTGTAGCCTTAAAAATGCTCGATCTTACCTGCATTATTGCTTTCTTGCTCACAACTGTCATTATTTCGATGATTTCGTAATGCTAGAAATGTTATTTTAGTAGTCAAACATCAAACAAAATAACAATTCTAAGAAACACTTCACCAATCCATTGTGGCATAATACAATTTTGTTTCCAGAAGTGCGCATCAAAGAAATCACACAGGAAAATAGCAACTGAAAAACACCTGTATTAATATCTTTAGTCAAAAAATTCAAAGATGCACTATATATCAGTTTAGTTGGATATTTTAAGTCCTCCAAGGAACCCGCAATTTCTCAGAGGGAAGAATCAGAAGTTGACGATTGGCTGGAGAAAAGTTTGAGATAAAATGCATCAATAATGCTCATTTATAACATCATTTATGGAATCATCATCACTGATTTTCATTATACCATTTCACAGTTTATCATCGAAGACAAATCAAAAAAAAAGCAAGAAACTGATCCATTGATCAAGAATTTTGCTGATCGTTGGTGGTATTGAGATACTGATCACGCAAATATTATGAAACTGTTTGAAACTATTCAAGAATTAATTTTAAAAAATTAATGAATATTGATTCGCTGTTCTCTTCAGCTGCTTCTCATCCTCGAATTCCCCTTTCCAATCAATATTAGTGGTCAGTATGATACTGGCCACGGATATCATTATATTTAGTGCCAAGTTCTCCTTAAATCAGCTGGAGCATTCCTTTCACACGACAATTTGTCTCCAAACGCGAATTTTTTCTTTGCAAATTTCCTCGCATCAAATATGCCGACAAATTTATTCACGGAATGTTCACGACACATTTCACAAGCAGTTTGGATTGTTTGCGAGCAACACCAAATTCCTTCTCAGCTTCAATTCGCACAGTCCAGATGTTCAAGCAATGAGTGAATTCAGTTCAATCAAAACTGAACTGCGCATCCCGTTTCTTCACTCCGGCAATGTATCAATTTACAATATGTGAATTTATTCATTCATCATATCCGAGTATTCGGACACTCAATGAATACAGCTGAAATAAGTGAGACATAACAGTGGTCATAACAGGATGATGCAGCACGTTACGACCGATGAATATCCATCAAAGCAACTGATGCTGTCTATCGAAAACCGGGTATCGAAATGATGATTCGATTCACGAAGATCATTACGAAGTCAAAAGTAATGTGGTAAAGGATGCAATTTCTTGATAACGCTTAATCGCACTCAGTTGTTTTCCTTGCGGTTTTCCTTAATTGTTTCAGATCGCAATTAATCCAATCTGACTAACTTAAACACATCAAAAATTGTTGAATGAAAATTAGCTTGATCGGCTCTATTTTTGTACTTCAAATTAGCTTGATCGCCTCTGTTTATGTATCCAAGTTCGCATCTTCCAGTTCTCATATCTTCCAAGCCTCATAGCATTTTATATCCACCAAGTATCGCCAACAAAAAATCATTACTTAGAAAGCAAACGAAATTATTACTGCACAAAAATACTTCTGCATAAGGCTGAACCAAAAAAGATTTTCAATGACTCATGCGATCTGCCATGTAACGAAAATATCACATAAAGTCATTAAATGACATTTGATCACTTGTTTGTCAACAATAATCGACAATTTTTATCAAAAAAAGATTGCTCTTTGGATTTTACTCTTCAGCAGTTGTTGGCTTTTATTTTTTTCATTTTTCGTCAGTTGACATGAGACATAAACCTTAAAAATCACTCCATAAAATGCGCATTCCATGAACGTTACTCATCTGATCGATTAGTATCGTCTTGATTTTGTGCAGTCATGACCACCGTAATAATCCAGAACATTGAAAAACATCTTCACCATTTCAAAATGCTCTTACAGTCTTCGCAAAATTACTCACATTTAAAATTTCAACTGAACATGATTGAGGATTTCTATTTCTTTGTTCAAAAGCTATTCTGGCCTAATTAAGAAGAAAATGTACAGCATTTGTTACTTGAAAAGAAAACCCTTCTGTGTGTGAATGTTTTCGAGATAGCCGTTCTTATTGATGAATTTTTCACTTCATTTGATCAGTAAACAAAAACAGTAATTGACGTTCGTTTATAAACCCATCGATGAACTTATACACAGTCAACTCTTTCCTTCAAAATATGCTGCGCTCATAAGTTTGTGCAACAGTTTCTTCAGATTCTTAAAGAGGTCAGGAAAATGAGTGTATCCAATAAAATGCCCACATAAAAATGTGGAGGCAAAGAAGTAACATTTGGACAGAAGTAATATTTGCTCTCAGAGATATTCGAAATACGGATGTATAGATGATTGTTTTGCCTTGGCAAGTCACAATCGCAGAAAACTTTTAAACAAGACGCTTTTGTGAGTGGAAAGTGACTGATTGTTAAGTGATACAAAGTGTTATGCTAAAAAATATCGATGCTTAATTGCAGCATTTTTTGAAAGCGCATCGCATTGATAACATTGTAAGGAGATCAGAGAACAGAAGAAAAAAGTTCATGACATGAACATTTTATCACATGATTATTGCTGATTTTTTGGTTTATTTCGTTCGTGACTCAGCATTGGTCATAAACAAAAGAATCTGGTGATATGAACCAGGATTGCATCATTTCGAACGAGCATATAAGGCGACTCGATCGAGCCATTCGGTACAGTGTGCAGCTTTGAAGAATCGCATCATGCGTTTTCAACTTCAACTTTTGGCTCTCTTGAGCCTGCTAACTGCTGCTATTCAAGGTAAAGATCTTTCTGCTTACTCAGAAAGACATTTAGGCGTTCAATCAGCGTATAGTAACGATGACTCCATTCAAATTTCTTCTTTGATATTCATATCCATCCAAAGATTTCTTATGAGATTACAACTTGAATCTGGTATTGCGAAAACGAACTGGAGGGCCGAAACTGAATTATGTGAAAATTGGGATTGAGGATTCCTTTCATAAACAAAACCAAACCATCAAGAAAGCAGTGGTCTTCATTGCAATAAATTTTTGCAGCCTTGGACCCGTGCGATTGCCCAAGTAGGCGATATGGGCCAGTTGATGTGACCTTCGTAATCGATGGATCGAAAGATGTTGGACAAGACAACTTCAAGGTTTGGCGAAATTTTCTTCTTGAATGGATTTGACTCAAAATTCATATAGCTGGAGAAATTGATACTGATGTTCAATTTATATCGATTATAATGGTAAGATTGGAAGATCGAAAATGATCCAGATTTCGAATAGTCATAATACACAGAAACGCGGCACTGATAATTAGCCCGGCGTATCCTCTTTTAGAATGCCACAAACANCCATATTGGATCAACAGAAAAGGTACCATGTTGACTTTTTACAGCATTTGTTTCATTTCAGTATTTTTCGTCAAGTGTTAATCCCCTGCATTTTCATCAACTCGTTTCAGGACAGCCGTGAAGCGATGGTCGTTTTCCACGGTGAATCAAGCATTGAGTTCCCGCTAGACGGCGTCTCAAATGCGGATGTAGACCAAAAAATCAACGCCGTGCAATATCCGACTCAACAGACTGGTGTTAACATTGCCCTAGGCATGGACGCAGCAACAAGAGATGTTAGATCACAGCTGAATCTTTTTTCAGAACTTCAATTCGTCATCTACTTCAATCATAAACATTTCATATAGAATAAGATTTCATCATCACTGATAAAATAACAAAAAAAAAACAATCACGTTTTTTCATTACAGATTTTCAATCGCCATCAACGTTCAGCGCAAAGATACATGATCATTGTCACGGGCAACAATGACCAATCGGATGTGAGGGCCGAACGCAGCCTTGCCAGTGAAATCGGTGTGACTGTAATTGCAATCGGTATTGAGCATCGTTTTTTTTTNNNGCCTGAAAGCTATGAAGAGTGAGTGATTCTAGGAGTTGGGGCCGGTGCAAGCCACGATCAACTTGTGAAGGCCACTGGTAATGCAGAGCATGTCATCATGATTAAGGACTACACAGAACTTCTCGACGCTTTGAGAAGAGCGATGTGCTTCAGTAAGTTCTTTTTTTTCACT